ATGAAAATATAAGGTGTGCTACAATAAGATAACTTATTAGTTGAGTAAGGATGAAGATATGAAAAGCATTGACATCTAAAAGCTCGATAATATGTGAAGTAAAAAGGAATGTGAAAAAGACGTTCAAATGGTGATGAATAATCAAGAACCTTGGCAGGTAAACAATTAATAATAGAAATAGAGGTTCCAAAATTGTTTAGGTCAACTGGATTGGGCAAGAAGAGCAAGTTCCATTTTCATAATATCATGATGTTTCCTCTCAATAAGGCCATTTTGTTGTAAGGTATAAGGATATGATAGGCAATGAAAAATTATATTGGCACTTAAAAATTGCTTAAAGATGTTAGAGCAATATCCCCCACCATTGTCACTTTGAAATTGTTTAATAGTGTAATTAAATTTTTTTTCCACTAAAATTTTGAATTTAACAAATATGGAATAAACATGAGATTTAGTAAAAAGGAGAAATAGCCAACAAAAATGAGTATAGTCATCAATAAAAATTACATAATACTGATAGTTACTCAATGAAGGTATGGATGTGGACCAAACATTAGAATGAATTATTTCTAAAGGAGCTATGGACTCGATTGTAGACTTAGAAAATGACAATTGTTTAGATTTGCCAAGTTGACAGGACACATAAAAAGTCTGTTTATTGATGGAATCATTAACTAGTAGAGAAAATTTTGAAATGACACGATAAAGGATAAATTTTGAAATGACACGATAAAGGGTGGCAGAGGAGGGGTGGCCTAAATGATAATGCCATGTGGAGGTAGAAGTCTTGACTCCAACAATCACTGTAAGAGCATCAGATTTGGATGATGAAAATTGACATAGGTTTATTGGGTACAATCTATTTTCACTTAGCCTTGTTAGAAGCGTGTTCCCTGTCAGGATGTCCTTCATAAAAAATTAAGAGCTGGTGAGTTCAAAGTAGTCATTATTGTCCTTGCAAAATTTACTAATAGAGAGTAGATAAGCAAAGGCTTGGGGACAATATGCAACATTGTTTGAGGTGAGAATAAAAGAAGGAGTTTTAATAGAAGCAGTGCTAGTATAAGAGTGATCAAACATGTCCTATTACTTACACCTATTGAGTCATCTCCTGTATAAGGTTGAGAGCTTGCAAGATTAGCAAGATTAAGGTAACTTGAACATTAACTCCATTATCAGTATACCATTGATGTTGACTAAGATAAGTGGTATTAGCTTTAGCCACCATAACAGCTAATTTAGTTAGAGGATAACAACCCTCAATGGAGTAATTCATATGGTTAAAATAGTCCAAAGCTTGATGTCCCTCCCTTCTGTAAATTTGATAGGGAGATCACAAGTGAGAAGTTGCAATAACAGGTGTGGCTGGTGATAGGGATGGCAGGTGAGATAACAATTGTCGAAACTAAGAAGAAGAAATACTAAAGTGTTTGGAAGATCTAGAGAAATAGGATTTATTAATGCTACGTTGATATCTAGGTTTGGAACCATTTTTATGCATGTATAAAGTATATGGTCCTACTTTAGGTTGAATAGATTGGCTATGGAATTTTTGTATAAGGTCATAATTCGACAACTCTATACAGAAGTCAGAGAATAGCATAAACTTCTCCTTAGCAAGCAACATATATGTTGTCACAAAAGAGTGAAAAGAGGAATTAAGACCATTGAAAACATATAAAATTAAACTTGAATCATCAACAAGTTTCCCCATAATAGATAGTTCATCGACAAAGGACTTGACTTTATCCAAAAATAATTGGCAAGACATGGAGCCTTATTATGAAGATTATAACTTCCTATTGATAAGAGAAATTCATGAAGTAAAGGGCGTAAAAAATCTTGCACCAAGAGCTTGCCAAGCAAGCCGAGAGGTCTCTAGACCATAAATGTTGGAAATCATTATAGGAGATAAAGGAGATAAAGAAGAAATAATCCAACCAAGTACCATTTGATCTTTATATTGCCAAATCACATGAGCAGAATTATGAGTACCTTGGGCCTTGTGTTCATTACTGGAAAATTGAGGAGGGCTAGGTTCAAAACCATCAACGATTCTTATAAGACCATAGCTTTGAAACACATGAATTAATTTAGCACTCTAGGCAAGAAAGTTAGTTCCATCAAGTTTAATGGCAATAACTTGAGTTAAAAGATGAAAAGTAGATGAAGGAAAGGAAGTGTTTGTGCTAGCAGCTGTCACACCCGGATATTGTGGTGATCGATTAAAAATTATCGATTGGAAAAAAAGAATAGATATCTGGCATCTTTTTAGGGGAAAAGGTCTTGTTCAAGGAGTCGTCACCTAGTATTATGATCACTAGAAACCCTAACTCGTCAACAAAGATTCTATGGTATGAGACTGGTTACGCAAAAGAAAAGATGTTATTACCCCTTAAGCGTCCTACATAAGGCAAGCTGCATTGCTGGTTTTGTCTAAAATTACTAAGAATTTGTTCTCCTTTTTTCCTTTTTTTATTCTTCCTTTCATGTTCCTAACTCTAGCGTTAGTGAACAATTCTTATAAATATTTCTAACTCTGGCGTTGGTAAATATCACACAAATTCAAAAAAATACGATACTCCTAACTATGGTGTTAGTGAATATTTTTGCAAAAAATGAATTTGAAGAAGAAATTTTCTATGTTATTTTTTTTCTTGTTTATCCTTTATTATCATTTTTCCTTTTTGGATGGAAGTAAAAAAAAAAACATTGCACGACATATTTACATTTAATAGTAATAGTCCACGGATTGAGCACATTTACAAAAAATACAAAGATAAAGGAAAAAATAAAACAAAGTGCGAGGGGTCCACAGATAAATCAATGAAGGCCACAAATATTTTTGGAATTTTTTGTTATTAAAAAGGGATTTTTGGTCAAATATCAAATTAGAATAAACATAAAAATTATGGTCAAGGCATAAGGTTCTGTTTTGCCGAGTACACCCTTAGCCTAAAGCCCAGACCTGATCAACTCTTTTTTTTTTTGCTGGATCTAGCCCAACCATGTGTGAAAGGTTCACGCATGCATGCAACAGTAACTAGTTAATTATTTTAGCAAAGAAGGAAGGAAACTTACCTAGACGTGTGGCTGCTGAAAGCGAAGTCAACGCAGACTGGACTAAAAAGGTTGAGGGGGGCTGCGGCTAGTATAGGGTTTACTGCCCCCTTCTTCTTCTTTTTTTCATGTTTCTTTCTTTTAGGGTTTCTAGTAATGGTCTCCTCTTAGAGTCTCTTCTTTTAGGATTTCTCTTTAATCATCCTCTCCCCCTTCTGCATACACTAATATCAATATTTATAGTGCAAGAGTCTCATCACTTACAAGAAGTAAAGTCTGAATGAAACTTATTGTCTTTCTTAAAGTTTGAATTAGAATCGAATTTGAAAATAGACAACTATCATTATCTTGAAGGTAAAGATTATCTTGAAGATAAGGATAGAATGACAAAAGCACATTATAGTCTCTAGTTTTCGTACAAACTGACATATCACCTTTTTTTTTAATTTTACATTTTAAACCCCATAAAAATAAAATTAAAAACCAAAGAACCAAAATTGGGTTGCAACAGCAGCCATAAGATTAAAAAAAGTGTTAGTTATAATTGACTCTTATACCATAAAAGAATTTTGAAAAAACCCGCCAGACACCTTTTGTTTTCTGGCTTATATAACCTCGGTGTTTATATCTGATATGAAAACTAGTTTTCTAGGTTTGTTATTAAAGATATAAATTACATGAGATTCAAATACAAGATAAGACATCTTCTATCATCCTATTTGAATAAGATGACTCGTATCCTTATTAGTACAATCACTTATTTATAGAGAAAACAAGTTTGTTATTTTTAATTACTTGATCTCTAAACAAACTTGATAATCAAGTAATCCAAAAAATAATTTGCTCTCTTAATTTGGAAAAAATGATGAAAAGAGAATGTATTTTTTTAGATTTGTTTTTGCTATTTTAGCATTTTTTCCAAAAAAAATTTACAAAATTAAAATAAAAAATTAAATAACATCTATCAACACCTTACGTTTAATTTTGATAATTAAGCGCTTCCCATCATATGGTACAATAACTATGCGAGGATATAGTGCCTTCCAACACCGGTCCTCTTAATAAGGTTGACATTTCAAATCAGGTACGTAAAAATGGTTAGAATGTTAGTTTGGGCTCTTGCCCAACTAAGATGTCCTTTCCCCACTTCCTTTTCTTTTTGAAACATCATGTGTCTGTATCTCAAGTCTTCCCGTTCTTTTCATTTTATTGCAACGAATTTTCTTAAAATTGCATAAATACATGTAATGAGATGGAAGTTGTTAAAAATTCATCTTAATTAAAAATTTTAAATTATTATATAAAATTTTAAAATATAATTTATTTTATTTTTTAATATATTTTCTTAAATAAAAAAATTTTGAACTTGAAACCTGTATAAATTCATATTATTTTATACTTAATTTTTATTAAATAAATAATGATAAACCTGTATAAACTCATATTATTTTATACTTAATTTTTATTAAATAAATAATGATAATGAGATTTAAACTTGTGATTATTTAGTAATTAAGATTTTGATATCATATTAAAGAATTATTTTAATCTAAAAATTAAAATTAATAAATTAAATTAATTCTTTAACATAACCAAATAAATAACCAAGTAAATATTGTGTTTTTATTTTTATGCTATTCTCGAGTTAGAACTTTCTCATTGGAATAATTAGAAACAATACACAATACATTATAAATTACATTATAATTAGAAAAATATTCTCTTACAACACGAAAATGATGTCAATAAAAATTTCATTAAATATAGGGGGAAAATATACTTCTCTGTTAATTATGACAAAACAGTTTGTTGAAACATGAAAGTCACATGATTGAACTGCCATACTTGCAAACGTAACCATCCATCTAACAAGAGTGAGAGAAATGCAGGCTCATATATAGTGCTATTGATTATCAAATACTTGTAATACAGAGCAGGGAGTGGAGAGTGCAAACTGGCATTCCATAACTAAGCATCTTCACTCCTAACCGTCGTGATCCAATGATCATGCATTCTTCAATAGGTAAATCCAAAGTTTTTTGTTTTCTGTTTAAGTTATAATTTCATGTTTGTCAATTTAAATTAATTTTATACTATACAGCCCTTGTCTCCAAGAATATTTCTTCTTTTCTGAGATTTTGTTAATTTTACTGTCAAAAGCTTGCTGATTTTTGCTAGACATTATTATAATATCTTGCTCTTCCATCAGCATATACATGTAAATACTGTCGAATGTCGAATAATCATTAGGGTTAGATTTTAGAGGTATCAGTTTCTTCATAGGGTTGGTCTAGCATATGGCATGGAGGCTGAGACTGTGACACTAACACATGGATCGAAGAAAATTTCACATGCTATTTACATTTCAAAACTTTGCTCTTTTTGTGACTCTTCGTCTCTGTCAAAACCAATCTTTTTTCTTCTTGAAAATGAAAAGATAATTTCAAACAGTTAATGAACCATCTGTCATTCACTAGAAACATCACAATTCACACATGCTCAACATCACGTTTTCAAATCATGTACTTGCTACGGAGCAACAAAGGTAGGAGCACCGGCCAAGTTTTTTACTCTTCTTTTTTGCATTAAATGGCTGTATATAGCCCAAGTCATTTGCTGATCAATTGTTGTAAGATCATTATAGATATGGGATTCATATAGCTGAATTATTAGAATAGATTTCGGTTTCCTAACACTTTGTATTTTTGAATCTCAACTCATTTAGGCTGTAGACAATAGATTGCTTCTTTCGGTGAAGAAGCTGATCGTGGGATTGCGAGAAGTTGTAGTATCGTGGCACTGTCAGCCTGAAAATCAGTCGAAGAAAATGAGAGGGAAGCCATTTTCAGCCAAAGCCATTTTTGTTCTATGCTTTGCAAGCTTTCTTGCAGGATCTCTCTTTACCAACCAGAATTGGACTCATCCTTCTCGGGCTAAGGATAATAGGATTGCAATAATTCCACATCATGTCACCAAGCTGCAAGAAGTGAAACAAGATTGTGATCCCAAGCGTGTAAGTTTGTTTGTTCACACTTTAAACACCATAACCTAAGAGTTCTATTTCCCTGAAAATTGGGAAAAAAAAATAAAATAAAAAACTACCTATAAATTCATCATTAATTACTATCATATATATTTCATGTGATTAATTCATGCATGCTTTACACACGCATTTCAAAGGAATGATATTCAACAAAAAATTGTGAAAACAAAATCCTTATTGTAATATAAATTAAATAGATTTATATATATGTAAAACAATATCAGCTCAGATGTAATAAAAAATAAAAATAATAAATCAGCTCAGATGTAATAAAAAATAATAATAATAAATCAGCTCAGATTGTATGACATTATAAATTTGGGCAGTCCAATTAACGATATAACTTTCAATTTATGTCTGGGGGCATGATGATCATGAACTAAATTTTAGGTTATCAGTTATTATTATTTTTTAGCTAAAATTGAATAAAATTGTGTTTTAAATTTATGCATCAAGATCACATATATATTTCTTTTACACATCAATCAGAAATTGGTTGAAGGAAAGCCTGGAGATATTATGGGAGAGGTTCATAAAACCCATGAAGCTATAAAGTGAGTTAATTGCTAGCCTTTTCTTTCTTAATTTTTAAAGAAACCATTGAATTGCAATATCATTTTAAATATTTTTCTCTCGTGCAACAACGCAGATCTCTTGAGAGCACAATGTCCACGTTAGAGATGGAATTGGCTGTAGCTCGAACAGTTCAGTCAAATGGGCAACATTATTCACTAGAAAAGCTTGCTAATCACACTTTACAGAAAGCTTTTGTTGTCATTGGCATTAATACGGCATTTAGCAGCAGAAAACGCCGGGACTCACTTCGACAAACTTGGATGCCAAAAGGTCCTCTCTCCCTCCACCAACTCCTAATTTATAGCATTAATTTAGAAAGAACAGACCTGTAGAATTTGCTGATTTTCGGCTATTATATAATGCATGGATTAGAACTCGCATTCCATGGCTGATGTATAGTCACACAAAGATCAACTTAAGAAAAATCAAAATGAATAATAATTGTCATGTCACCGCAGGAATCTACCAGTAATTTTGGAGCTCCTATTCTATAGCAGTTTTCTTGTAGTTAGCCAAAAAGGCGAAGAGTTTATGCAATTGAAAAATTAATTTAACATTTGGGCACTAAAATAGGCAAGCCCCAAACTTTATTCCAAATTTTAACTCAAATATCAATTGAGAGTCTAAAGGGATTTTCTCTCTGGATTTTGGTGGAATCCATCAACAGAAGCGGGCACATAATTGAAAATTTTTAACACTATAGGAATCAATTGAGATACAAAAAATTTACTGTAAGAAGGAAGTATTGTATACATAGATAAATACATAAACAGGTTAATTATCATAATTTATATTAATTACCAATCCACAATGCATGTGTAATACATAATTTGATTCACCTAATAACTCTCGATTACCCAGTAAATTACTAAAGATGTGTGTAATTAATGCAGGGGAAAAGTTAAAGAAATTGGAGAAAGAAAAAGGGATTGTGATACGATTTGTGATTGGACACGGTTCCACACCTGGTGGTGTTCTTGATAGAGCAGTAGACTTAGAGGACGCAGAACATAAGGATTTTCTAAGACTCAAGCATGTTGAAGGATACCACGAGCTCTCTACCAAAACAAGATTGTATTTTTCCACAGCAGTTTCAATTTGGGATGCTGAGTTCTACCTCAAGGTGGATGATGACGTTCATCTCAATTTAGGTAATTAGCAACCATGCTTCTCCTCCAACATTTCGTGACTAGAAATTAACAAGGAACATGCTTATGTATTGGTAATAAATCGTGTTCTATTCATATCATGTTCCATGTGTCCTCTAGGCATGCTAATGAGTACACTAGCCAAATACCGGTCCAAACCTAGGATCTACATCGGATGCATGAAGTCCGGACCAGTTCTCTCTCAAAAGTAAGTTAATTTTATTTATTTTTGTTATTAAATGTGCTTGATTCAGCAAATCCGGCATCCTAATGGAGAACTTGAATTATGACGTCAGGCTCTATCTCTAGTAGATTTAGCAGATTTCACTTCATATTTTTTTCATTTCTTCCTGGCCTCAAGTGATATTGCAATATTTTTTCTCGGCAGAGAGAACAAATATTATGAGCCGGAGTACTGGAAATTTGGGGAAGATGGAAACAAATACTTCAGGCATGCCACGGGCCAACTCTATGCCATCTCTAAGGATCTCGCTGCCTATATCTCCATCAACTCGTGAGTCCCATATCCAAAAGCATCAGTTTTCCCTCATTTGTTGCCCTCAAGTCAGAGTAATATAGCGATATGAAATATTTTGGCAGGCCCATCTTGCATAGATATGCCAATGAAGATGTCTCTTTGGGCTCTTGGCTTCTAGGCTTGGAAGTGGAACACGTGGATGAACGTTCCATGTGTTGTGGGACTCCTCCAGGTACACAAATCAATCACACAACCATTCTCGCCGTGTTGATATTTTCCAGCAGTCAATCTGCCAATTCCTTCAGCATAACATATTTAAAAATAAATTGAAAAATAAAAAATGGATTTAAATCAATATTTCTCATTTTTAATTTTATTGCTAGGATAGGAAAAGGTAGATTATTAAATCCTCTTAAATGTTCCTACGTGTAAAAAGTAAGCTATAGCTTGTTATTATATTTAACCTATTTATTATGAATCACATTTCACAACAAATATAAATGTCAGGACGGCCCAAATATATATATATATATCTTCTTTCTTGAAAAAACATTGTCATATACTAATTTCTTCTCGTGGGCAAATGTATTTTTGCTATTGACTGAGGTGGTGAACAGTGGTAATTAATTATATATTAATATTCCAATCGACTAGGATCATCAAAATAATTGTTATTCAAGTATAAATTTTAATATTATTCAAAATTGTGTGGTAGATGTAAAGTTGTTTTTGTTTAAAAAATATATTACAATAATTTTTTATTTATTTTTAATATCAATACATTAAAATTATTTCAAAACAATAAAAAAATAATATTACTCCCATACACTTACTAATATATAACTTTATATACAACCTTGCTATCCTATGACGACATTATTTCGGTTTTTAGATTGTGAATGGAAAGCACAGGCGGGGAATGTATGCGTGGCATCCTTCGACTGGTCGTGTAGCGGAATATGCAACTCTGTGAGAAGGATGAAAGTAGTGCATGATTCTTGTGGGGAAGGAGAAGGTGCTGTTTGGAATGTTGATCTTTGAGTTGTGATTTAGCAGTCTAAATAATATGACAGAGAGTTAAAGGAGATGTAATTCCTATAATCCTTTTTTTAGAAGTGCTGGATTTATGTAGAACAATACCTCCTCTTTTTTTTTATCATATTTGATATATTCATATATACCAGTGATGATCAACCGAAACTCACTCCATCTACACTCAATATGATGATAAATATGACTCTGGAAAGGATACATACATACATACATACATACATACATAGATACATACATATATATGATGAACAATTATATATGAATTTATAAAGTTTAATATGTATTTTTGTCTCAATTTATCTGACTCAATCATTTTAGTAAAATCTAATTTTTTAATTTAATATTTATTGATATATATAATTCTCAATTTATTTTATAAAATACATTTAATTAATATTTTTTTATTATATAAAACATGTTACCATGCCCACGTTTGTTTTATTTAATGTTGACAAAATAAAAAGAGCTTGATCCGTGGTGGAGTAAAATTGCTCAATAATTTGACATATTAAAATTAAAACAAAAATCAATCATTTTGGTTTGATTTCTTTTTTCCTTAAAATTTAAGCATGATTATTTAGAACAGTCATGAATGGATAGATGAATACAAAGTTAATCAATCAATTACAAGCATAACTTGGAAACATATTCAGTCCAATACCCAGTGCCTTGTTGTAAAAAATTTGAATTCTCTTGTGTTTTTAAATTTTAAATAATCATTTCAACCTAATATTTTAAATTTTAAATTGTTAGATAAAATCTTAACATATAATTTATATTATTTTTTATCATATATTTTCAAGTGAAAACCTTTTGGATTTAAAATTTATATAGATTCACATTACCATGTATTTAATTTTTATTAAATAAATAAAAATGATGAGATTTAAACTTGTAATCGCTTAGTCATCAAGACTCTGGTACCATATTAATAAATCATCTCAACCCAATAACTTAAATTATAAGATAAGGTCTCAAGATATGATTTATATTATTTTCTAATACAAAGAAGAACATGATTTTAATGTTCCAAATCTCACAACTAGTTTTGAATTATATGATTTTACATTAGGTCAGAGAAATAAAATATAAAGACTGAAGGTTTTGTTTATCATGTATTAAATAATGTTCTTTCAATTTGAATTCAATGATTTAGAGAAAAGAAATATGAAAAAAAAAATTGGTAAAAGAGAATACGATAGAATTCCAACCTGAAGTGGTAACCAGTACCTTAAGAGCTACTTTTATATCTAATTTATTTATTGTTTTACATATTTTCCAATTATTTTGAAATTCAAAGTTATTTTTTATTTAGTCACTCATCAACTAGAGTTTGTAAGCCTTAGGTGAAATAAATCTCATATCCTTTTGAATATGTGCTACATTAGCAAGTTTTACTCTCTAAGGATGTTGAGTAAAGAATTTGTTAGGGAGAGATGTGTTTTGATTTTTATGCTTTTTCTCTCAATTTTTAATTTAACATTTTTTTAAACTTATGATACTGATACGTCTTGTGGTTGGAATTTATGTTTTTTTTTATTTGAACCATATATTTTTAAATGTTTAAATTATATATGAATTTTTATTTAAATCATGTATTTGAAAGTGCTTGAATTATGTATGGAAATTTTTTTATATATAATTTTATGATTTTACAATTTAAGTTTATATTGTATTTTTTATGTCATGTTAAAAATATATTTTTGATAACCTTGTTTATGAACCTTAAATTTTTAGGATTAATTTATTCATTTATACTAAAGATGTATTGCCCATCTATTCTATCAAATACTTTTCACTCTTATATGCGATTATATATTCATATATTTTTCCTCTATGCCCTTTCACTATTTTTTAGATGAAAATGCCCCTCAAAATAACCAAAAGAAAAATTAATTTTTGTAGTCTAAAAAAGTAGAAAAAAATTGAGAAGATAACAAAATGAAAACAATTATTTCAAAATTTTCAAAGCAATTTGAATTATAAATATATATATATATATATATATATATATAACATAAAAAAGCAAAAAAATAGAGAAAGAGATTTAAAATAACTTGTAAATTATTAAAAAAAACAATGAAAGAGCCATGACCATAAACCCTCATAAAAGCTGTATATGACAATAAAATAAGTTCTGCAGGGAAAAAGGTTTTAAATTTTTATTAGTTTTATTTTTAGTGGGTCATTTAATCTCTTTTTGGAAGTTTCAATTGTTTATATTTCTAGATTTTTTTTTCTTCTTTTTAAAGTGTTTCTACTTTCTTGTTTGTTTAAAAAAATCTTAAGCCTTTTAAATTATTTTTAGTTTTTATGTATTAAAATTGAAATATAAATTTGATAATATAAAGGAAATTTATGGTAAAACAAATAAAAAATAAAAAGATATATGAGAAACAAATATGAATATACAAGGATATGCGAGAGCACAAAATTCTTAAAAAAGAAAAAAACTATACGTGAGAGTATACCTGATATATAAGGATAGATGAATCAATTAGCCTCAATTGATATACATTTAATTTAATTTTTCATTGGACCTGTTGTTACATATTATGTTTTAAACTCCCAAACACCTTTAACCCGTGGTGCTGTCGGTGTCCATTTTTTTTCCTCACCAATATTCACGTAATAAATTCTAAAAAAATAAAAATTAACTAAGTACTAAAAGGAGCCACAAACAATTAACAGATTTAAATGTTCAATTACAGAATTCTAGACTAGCATAAAGAAGTCATGGGCAATCATCTCCTCAACATAGCTGCAACAAAATGCAAATTATATGAATATAAATAAATAAAACATGTTAAATAACATATGAAATTTGTATAAGCTACATATTTTTTAAAGAAGAAATAACATAATGCATAAGAAAATAACATAATGTATAAGTCTAAGCATTTACTTCACTCATATACTCTTTTCAAGATCTTCCATGTTAGCCCACATTTCTGTCTTCTTCCTTAAACACAAATACTTATTAGTGAAGAAATAAAAGTCACCTCTGACAGCAATTTCTTCAATAGAGTGAAGCTTTATTATAATTTTGGGAATACTATACCCTTTTTCCTATTCATGTTAAAAGATGTTGAATCACTCTGGATAGATATGCTGTCAACTAGATAATCCTGACGTAAAAATAGTTGTAATTCAATTCCAAAAGATTTTTGGTTTCTTTTTGGCTTGAATAAGAGCATTAAGTAAATAACAACTAGTGCATTAATAAAATAACAAAGATAAAAATATATCAAAAGATAGAATCTAAGACAGGGTCAGCAAAATTATTATCTATCAAAAGTCAATAGGTAGTTGATTTGCCCACTGAATTCAAGCATTGCGTTTGCTAGTTGCCACTTACAATGCTTGCTTGTGCAAGTATCAATAAAGACATGACCACCAACAAATCAATTGCACTACGTACATACGAAATGAGAATCCGACATGAATCTAAGATATGGTAGGCCATTGCTTGTCTATGAGGACATTCATGCTTGGTTCTTGTCTAATGGGCAGCAAGAAAATCTCAATCCAATATTTTCCTTGCAGAGAATGAGCACATTAAAGTCTGAACCAAAATCAAAGCTGCAATTAGTAAATTAATGTTGAGCCCTTAATTAAAATAGGAGAATTGAAATGATTTTATATGACTAATTGAATTCTGTAATCTGAGAATTTGGAAACCTGGATTAAAAGAAATTACTTCAAACTGTATAACTTTGTTCTAGAAAATTAATCATGGAGAGAGAGAGAGAGAGAGGAAAATCAAATACTAAACTTTCTGCTGATTACTGTGTGATATTGTACTAATTAATTTATCTATCCCGGCTAGTGCTGTAGATCATGGTTAAAATAATGATCATAGAGATATCAAAACCCTATCTTTTATTTCATCAAGGGACGCAACTAGCTGGCTAGACCCTAACAAGTGATCAAAGCTATGATCATGGATAAGTAGAGTACTGCTAGCTATGGAGTTCAGCAGAGAAGAAATCATAGACAAAAA